ACAGTCTTCATATTACCTCTGATATGTTTATGTCTCGCTTGAATTTATGTCTCAATCGTATATTATGCTCTCACTTCGTTCTCTTTAATATGGTGGACTGTCTGCAACAAATGACAATTGATTTCATCTTTATTGTTGGAAAGAATTAGTCCTCTTTTATGTGTGCTTTCTGTCTTTCATTCTTTGACATGCTTTGTGTACTAGCTAGCATTCCCACTCGGAAAATGGAATATCCGTGTACAATTGGTTTTGAATAACTCCTTGCTTTGCTTTGTACTGCTTATGTAGGATATTAGAAATGGTTCAGGGAGCATGCGCCCAGTTCCAAGTACCTCCTTGTTCCCTCAAAGCATCCGGTCTGCTCCATCCAAAATCCAAACCGGTCACGGGTCTGGCAGTCCAACATCTGTCAACAGTAATGGAAGTCCATCACTTAGCAGTAATGGATCTATTCTAGAGAATGGTACACATGCTAATGGGTTGCTTGAGAACGGGAAGAAAGAAGAAAATGGCAGGTTGTTTGGGAGATTGACTGGAGCAGACATGTACGAGAGCACCCGATATGATGCAATCCTACTAAAAGAGGATCTGAAGAACACTACTTGGCTGCATAGCGTGGATGATATGTCTGATCAGTGTTCCATTTTTGAAAACGGGTTTGAGCCTCTGCCAGAACCATTTGGCCTCTCATGATTGGTTCCTCGTTTCGGTATTTTACATATATCCGATCTTTCAAATTGATTATATCAAAAATTATCTGATTATCTCTGCGTGATCGAATGTCTCATTTTTGCTTGGAGAAGAGCTGAATGTTTATTGATTGATTGTTTTGCAAAGAAATGTCTAGGTTTCCCATGTTCCCTGAGTCCTGATGTAATTGATAAGTACATTATAACTTAATGCCCTGGATACTCCAGGCAATAGTCATATAGTTCTGTACATTTGATTCATTTCGCAATGATATATATTGATGATTATGTGTTATCATTTAATCGTTATCAAATCTAGCAGTACTAGCACTTGGTACTTTTTCATATACAGGTATATAGATTTTGCACACACACAGACAGAAGACAGAGCTTTTGGGAAGTACTATTATATGCCCGTGAGGCTTAGACTTTGGAGAGTCCTTTTGTTATGCTATAGTCTGAAGAGGGATCTCAGAGTCTCAGACCAGCATCTGCTTAGGCAAATAGTATTCTAGATGATTAGATAGACTGTCTGGCTTCCTTTTCACTCGATAAGCTATTCAAGTGACATGAGCTTCTGTTATGACTTAGAACAAGTACATTTTGACAAAGCTCTTTTGGATAGTGGCTCTGAAAGAGAGAATTCTGATAGCCAGCCTCAGTGGAGCAGAGTAAGAATTCTTCTGATAAGAATGTTAGATCTGGGAATTTTGGATTTACTCAATTATTTTTTGCTGCAAAAAAGATATCTGTGGAGAAACTTCCAAGCTAGATCTGAGAATAGTAAGGTCAATTGTGATAGGCATGTGGCTGGCCTTTGAACTTTGCTGTCAGTCGCAGTTGCAGCACATGATGTGGGCATCAGGTTTAGAGCCCACGCACCAGAAGCACATGTCCATGTGATCTCACTAGTTAAAATAAACACAAGAGCTCACCCTTAACATCATTTAGTTTCCTGATTTTCAGGATCCACACCTCTTCATCTAACTTCTTTGTGTTGTTTTATGATGTATCACTACTTTTGGCCTAGACTCTTTTCATGCTTACATCTTCGGTCTATCACACGAAGATAGTATCGAGTTTAAATGGTTTCACGTAATTTGTTCCCAGTTTCACTATTTTCTTAGAAGGCCCTGAGTTTGTAGATTCGTTGTATACTAGAGTTACATGTTAACGACGTTTACATTAATACATCATGTTAGTCTTTGGACCGTTGTTACTCGTATAAGAGAAGGTATAAAACCATTTGCAAAGTAAATAGTGTGACCAGTGACAATGACTAAGAGTAGTGAGTAGTGAGTATGCTGTATACTGTACCTTAAAAATGAGAGGCAGTGTTACCAATATCGTACGTAATAATAAGTATACAAACTACTTTTGGGGCCCTGATGAATAAAGCCATACTGTCTGTTGTTATAAACTGGGCCTGTGACCCAAAAAGGCTTTAATGCTTCCAAATTCATTGGGTTGGCCCACAATACCTACGCCTATTAAATAAAGTCTAACCAGGCACTGAACTAAACCATTATTCACTGCTCACTGACACTACACTTCTCCTATCGTGTGCTCAACTGCATATTGAGTATTGACTTTGACATCATATTTATTAGGGTTATCATGATTCATCTGTTTCTTTTCTCAAAGCATGTTTGTTTAAATTGCTTGTTTATTCGATACATGTTTAGTGCATATCTTTGAGCATTTTTTATGGAAATCACTAAAGTATTTTGCATGTATAGTAGTATTATTATGTTTTGCGCCTATAACATGCCATTTCAAAAGCCATTTAAGAACTAATAATGATTCAAGATTTTCTTATCTTTTCATAAGCGTCCAAATGATCTAAAATCACATGAAAAACACCAAACAACCTACAAAGTGACATTGTCCACACCTCTTATACTCAAAAATACTTAAAGACAGGTGCGCTTAGTACTATAATATGAAGTATTTTGAGATTTAATTTTTGCTTATCCAAATTAGCAAATGAAAAACAAATAGCTTGGATACACTATAATAATGTATTTGTATTAAAGAAATGCCATACTTGTAGTATAAATGAAGATGTGTATTGCATGCATAGTACCATCTCAATGTCATTAGAAATGGGCCCAATAATATAGATCGAACTACATCTCAAAAAAAAAAAAAAAAAAGGAACTTTATGATTAAAATGGTTTGGAGAGCTACTAATGAGAGTCAACGAGAGCATATATTCACTGTAGACAGTAGTGAAGTCTGCTTTTCATTTTGACTCGGAATTGAATACTTGACTGTTTTTGTTGAGTACTCGTAGTAATTAATTGGGAAGACTTAATTAAACAATACTTAGGAGTACAATTTATGAGGCAAAAAGAGGTGGAGTTGGTACATAAGTAGGTAAAGACTTAATTCAAAAAAAGTCTCTAATTCGAATATGAGAAAACCGCTAGACTTTTTGTTTCGACTTAATTAATTATAGTTAATGATGATGCAAAGCATCCAAGGTTAACTCTACTTACTTAAATGGATATTCATTTACTCCCTATTAATCTACGAGTAGCTACTTTCTGCTATGCTTACTCTTCAACTCGTACTCATGCAAATATATATTTGACATAAGAGTATATTTTACCACCCCCCCCCCCCCCTTAAGATCCACATAGTACATCTCTATTAATTTTTTTTTTTAATTTAATTTAATTTAATTTTTTGGCGGGTAAGAAAAAGGTTTTATATAGGGTTAAGGACCTCTTACAAGTTAATTATTATGTCCAATTATATAGATAGGATCCATAAGACCCTTTTGGAATGGAAGGAAAAGGGTAAGGAAATCTCCACTCACATCCTTGTGTTGTGATAAAATAATCTCTACAATTAGATGACTAGACCAATTGACCAAATACTACTTGCTATACTATTCTACTAGATGGTTGTGTACAATTATCATATTAATTTTAATTTGACATTTTGGAACAAAAAATGTTTTTTGCTATAAAATTTGGAAATTGTTTGACTAGCAAAAGAAAAAACTGAATTAGAGATCAAAATCAAGGAGATGCTATGCTCCTAATAAAAAAAAAAAAAGAAAGACAGAAAATAAATAAGGTGGAAGAACACCGAAGAATCCATCCAAAGAGGGAGAAACAAATACAAGTTACAAGCATTAGCATTTGCACCTATTTCTCTGCTAATCTGTCAGGCTCACACTAATTACCTTGGTGGGCCCCACCCACACCCTTCTTTCCAACTTTCTCAACTACTGCTCTGCTCCCCCCCTTTCTTCATTTATTTTAGGTTTAGAACTAGGATCTTAGGATGGCTGACCTCATTTAGTTTAAGGGTGCTAGTCCCCACTAATTTTATTTAATTGCAAGACAATACTAGCTAGCTAATTAACATCATGTTTATCTGTTTCATTTTTCTTGTCACATTTTACAACAATATTTTGCTTGATTTGATTATTTTGTGAAAGTTTTTGGATGAAGTCCGACAAATGTATGATCACTATGTCTCTTAGTACAACTACTTTCGCTTTAAATTATGCGCTGTTTACTTCACCTTAAAAAAATAATATTAAGTAAAAATAATTTCAGTTCAGTAAAAATAAGTTCAATTTAATAAAAATAATTTTAATCGGTAAAAATTAGTTTAGTTCAGTAAAATTCAGTAACTTTAAAGAATAAATATAACAGAAAATCAACAAAAATAATTTCACTTCAACAAAAATAATTTTAGTTCAGTAAAATTAATTTCAATTTAGTAAAAATAATTTAACTTCAGTAAAAATAATTTCAGTTAAGCAAAAATAAGGTGAACTGAACGGAGCCTTAATTAATTATATGGAGTACAACATTTTAAATTTTGCACTATTTATATAAACGTTATTTACTTTGACTACATTATTACAAACACTCCGTATATTAAGCACAATTGTTGTCGTGCAAATTATTTTTGGTTAGTCTTAACTCTTCATTCATTATACCAACTTTAGAGTTCTTGCTAATGTATAAATTAAGCTTTTGGTTGAGTTGGTCCGTTAATATGGTATCGGAGTTAGCGTGACTCAAAGGTCACGGTTTCAAATCTCATCCACCCCCCATTTTCAAGTAGAATATTTCGCGCAGCATATGAGGAGGGCGCATGCTGCATCCACACTTTATGCCCAACGGGTTCTCGTGTGGTTGATGGTTTAGGCCCAGAAATATGTTTTATACACTCTATCAATTATAAACAAAAATGGTCAAAATTTTGCATTGATACACGTACGATTAATAAAAATGCCAGTAGCAGTCCGTTTAAAAATGTTAAGATAATGGGGGTAAAGAATGAGCTGGTATTGTGTTGGTAAGAAAAACAGAAACGTAAAAATGTTATGTTAATGTTGTTAACAAAAAGAAAGAAAAGGTCTTTCTTCTCAAAAATTACAGCTGTGCAGACCAACTTCCTGGGTTCTGCACCTGCCTTCTTCCTTACTTGGAAATTCCGAACAACAAAAACTCTGAAACAGAGAAGAAACTCATCGAGATCCGTGTGTCTAAAACCCAAAACCCCCCATTTTCAGGGGAGGTTACTTTTATGCCGTTAACTTTACGGAAGATTTTGGGTTTGAGAAGTTAGGACACAAATTGAACCTGTTTCTCTCTAAACTAATACCAACTCAGATTCAGTGTATTCTTCAAGTTTTGCCGTTGATAATTGCTTTCTTTTTAAACCCCATTTTTTCACCTTTTTTTCTCTCTTTTTCTTTCTCTTTCTTAAACTCAAATATGTTGTTGTTGCTGCAAATGCTGCTTCTTTCCAGGTACCCTTTTCTTTTTTCTCTCTCTCACATTTTATTCAACTTGTTAGCTTCATTTCTGCATCAAATAAAATGTGTCAAACTCTATTCATTTGGGAATATTTCTGTTTCTATATTTGATTCATCAATTTCATGGATCTGTACCTCTATTTCTTGTTGTGCAGATAATTTTGTTGATGGGTGCTCTAATTTGACCCATTTATCTTTCTAAGGTAATTTCCTCTTTCAATATCTCTTTGAATTGATATACTGTTATATTTTGTTTGATTTTTGTTACATTTCCTTTCTTGAAATTTATTTCCTTTAATTTTAGTTCAACTATTAATTTGATTGCTAAAAATAGTAAATTCTTCTTCTTTCTATGAATTTATCAAAATTTTCAGCTTTCCCATTTTCAGGCTCATGTTTACTAAAATCTTCATTATACCCTGATCTGTTCTTCATTTTATTAATTATTACAATTCAACTGGATCCTTCAATTCATCATAAGTTATATAAATACAGTTTAATTACTCTATGAATTGTTGCTAGTTAGTCTTTTTGCTCCTAAGGCAAAAATGTGAGACTAGAAATTGGAATAATCATTCATGCAAATTTACTCTTAATATCTCTAGGAGGGGAATGAGAGGGACATAGGGTTCGAGTTGATTAGATTCGGTAATTTGAAAGGGGACCTTCAATTTGGTATACTTTGGATACCATTAGTGAGAAGTGAAACCCACCCAGTATATCATCCTTCCCAATTTAGTAGAAGTATACTAATTGCTGTTTTTTAAGGGAAAAGAAAAAAGAGAATCTTTTACTTGTGGGATTTGACTAATGCTTCATGCAATCCACTCTTAAATTTAGAAGGTGAAAGCATGGAAGGGCAGTAGGAGAACATTGATCATGAGTGATAATTAGTGTTGTAAACAGAAAAAGACTCATCTTTATTATCAACTAACCCTTGCATACTTATTAGTGCTCCCTTCTTTATCCAAAAAGAACTCCCATGCTTTATTGCTTTCTTTAGCGCTTTAGCTGTATGCTTACTTTTTGATAAATGTATTATGGAGTACTGCCTTTTTATACTAATCCTAAAGATTGTATAATGACTGTCAGACGAGAATTGAACTGGACATTTCTTTGTTTTCATAAATAGTGGCATTTATGCTTTGGTACAAAAATTTTCCGTTAATCCTATTCTTTCTTCTCCACTCATTTTAATTTGATGCTTAAAGTTGTTTAATTCCAAGGGTGGGTGGACTGGTGTTAATGACTGGACCCGGCGGATGAATTCCTTAGAAACACACTGGGGTCTGGTATTAATCTAGCATTCATTCTGTTGGTCCACAAATTAGTCTTCAATCAAAGGCAGCTTCTTTGCTAACATGTGGCTCCCATTCTGGTGTACATTTAATCCTTGAATTGTTCGTTGGTACTTAGGTGAAGTATCTGTACCTTCTCTTTAATTGCAATAGAGATTATGAGATTCCGCTTGATGCTTTTATATCCTGCTTGTTGTCCCATATAATTGTATTCCCTTTTATCCGGTAATTCATATCTAACCTCTCAATATACGGTTTCTGCATTTTGTATATCACTCGTGTTGTTGCAAGTATCTTTGTTCTAACTTTACTACATTGTTATTTGTCTAGATTATTGTTTATCTAAAAGAGATAACTAGTCTTTTACAGCATTTTGCTTTGAGTGCATGTTCAGTCTTTTTTTTTTTTTGTTTTTTTTTTTTTTTGCATACTTGCTATTTGAGTGAATTTTCTTAGTTTTTGTAAACTCTCTGCTTCACATGCATGCAGTGCTTGCTTTAGTTTGTATTCATAGGAAATATGATCAGACTGCTGATAGCCTATTCTTTCTTATGCCAGGCATTACCAGAGAATCGCTGCAACAGACCAACCATTATCCTATTGAACCTACACCAGCAGGATATCTATGAGGCTCTTCTTTCTTTTGACATTGGTGTCGCTTTTCTTGCTCATTTTTCCACCTCCAAATCATGCTGATCTGGAAAATGACAAGCAAGCTTTGCTTCAGTTTGCTGCTTCAATCCCTCATGGCCGGAAAGTGAACTGGACTTCTTCTGCCCCAGTATGCACTGCTTGGGTGGGCATTACCTGCAGCTCGGATAACAATAGTGTAGTTGCTGTCAGGCTACCTGGGGTTGGACTTAAAGGTCTTATCCCTAATAACACCCTTGGGAAGTTGGATCACCTTACGACCCTCAGCCTCCGGTCAAACCTCCTCTCGGGGAGTCTTCCATCTGATCTGCTGTCCCTTCCTTCTCTCCAGTATGTATACCTACAGCAAAATAACTTATCTGGAAAAATACCATCTTCATTATCCCCGCAACTCAACACATTAGATCTCGCTTCTAACTCCCTGGAGGGCGAAATTCCATCATCTGTTCAAAATCTGACTAATTTAAATAAATTGTTCCTTCAAGATAATGCTCTTACTGGATCCATCCCCAAATTAAATAATCAAAGTCTTAAGTATCTGAATTTGAGCAACAATCACCTTAATGGCTCAATCCCATTGGCTCTTAGTGGCTTTCCCAATTCGTCATTTCAGGGAAACACAGGCTTGTGTGGACCTCCACTTAAACAGTGCTCTGGAGTTTCTCCTGCTTCTGCTCCCGCTGTGTCTCCTTCAGATAACATGGGTCCTACACCTGCTGCTCATGAAAAAAAACACTCGAAAAAGGGACTAAGCAAAGTGGCTATCATTGCCATTGCGGTAGGAGGAGGTGTGGCACTTTTTCTTCTTCTGCTAATGGCTGTCTTTTGCTGTTTAAGGAAAAAGGATAGTGAAGGACATGGTGTTCTTAAAGGCAAGGCTTTTGGTGCTGGAAGGACTGAAAAGCCCAAGGAAGATTTTGGGAGTGGGGTCCAGGAGTCTGAGAAGAACAAATTGGTTTTCTTTGAAGGTTGTTCCTTCAATTTTGATCTTGAAGATCTACTAAGGGCCTCTGCTGAAGTGCTGGGAAAGGGAAGCTATGGTACAACTTACAAGGCCATCTTGGAGGACGGAACGACAGTAGTTGTCAAGAGATTGAAGGAGGTTGTGGTTGGCAAAAGAGAGTTTGAGCAGCAGATGGAAACAGTTGGAAGGGTTGGTCAGCACCCTAATGTTATTCCCCTACGGGCTTATTACTACTCTAAGGATGAAAAACTTCTTGTTTACGACTATGTATCAGCTGGTAGCCTGTTGGCACGTTTGCATGGTATGCTCTCTGTTCTCTTTGTTTATCCTTTTTGTTTCTTAAGTGTCAATTCTGAAAATGAGAAATGATATTTTAAAAAGTAGAACCCTGTTCAACTTAGCAATTACTGTCCTCAAGAGCTTAAATAAACAAAACAATGAATGATATTTTCAGGTAGCAAGGATGGTGAAAAACCACCACTGGACTGGGAATCCAGGATAAAAATTTTACTGGGAGCTGCTAAAGGAATAGCCCACATCCATTCAGCTGGTGGTGGCAAGTTCACACACGGGAATATTAAGTCCTCCAATGTTTTTCTTTCCGAGGACCATAATGGTTGCATATCAGATTTTGGTCTGGCTCCCCTCATGAGCTTCCCTGCTGTCCCTCCGAGAACTGCCGGCTACAGAGCACCAGAAACAATAGAGACAAGGAAAACCTCCCAAAAAACTGATGTTTATAGCTTTGGTGTTCTCCTTCTTGAGTTGCTTACGGGGAAGACGCCAGTGCAATCACCTGGACGTGATGATGTAGTTGATCTCCCAAGGTGGGTGCAGTCAGTTGTTCGGGAGGAATGGACCGCGGAAGTTTTCGACGCAGAGCTAATGAGAAATCAGAATATTGAAGAAGAGTTGGTTCAAATGCTTCAAATTGCCATGGCTTGTGTTTCCAAGGTGCCAGATTTAAGACCTGACATGGGAGAAGTGGTGAAGATGGTCGAGGAGACCAGGCAGTCGGATTCTTCAAGCAGACCATCACCAGAGGCTGAGGGATCAAAGTCTAAGGCTTCAGATACCATTACACCGTAAAAGCAACAAACAGCATTCAATTGTTCTTTTGATTTCATCTTTTAGTGAAAAAGGAGGCTACTAACAAAGGACTGTACATAGCTCAAAATCTTGGTACTTGCTGCTAATGAGGTCCCAGCCATTCAGTGATTCTTTTAGGGTTATAAATTAGAAACTCAAATTGTGTCATTCTTTTCTGTTCTTTTTTCTCAGGTTTTTATTTGTTGATCAGTATAGGAGGGGTGTTGTAGCTAAATTTGATTCAAACATTTGTCTTTTTTATTGGTGTTACTGACATCTTGTATAAGTGTATCTGTTCTCAAATTAGTATTACAATCAATTAGATTCTGACAAAATAAGTTTGACATACACTAATTGGAGTGACAAAAAAAAGGGGGAGGGCGTGTGGTTTGATGCTATTTTTAATAAATCTACATGCATGATTACGTGACTCATTATCAAGCAAATCATGGTTCCAATATTGAAGTCGAACAAAATAACTTAATTCTACTTCCCCAAAATCGATTTAAATCAAAATTTCAATGATATCAGGTGATACAGGTTGGCCATTATAACCAAAAATAAAAAATGGCCAACAACAAAAAAGTAATAGGACAGTAAAGTCTGTAGTCCAATCTTGTGTTAAAAAATGTTTACTGTAAAACAACTCAAATATGTAGTCTGACCATCTATTTCCTTTCTATCTCAACGGACCTTCTACAAGTTAGAACATATTTTAGATTACTGCGGTGAGTTTGCTGGACCCTTGTTGACTAGATCGGCACCACTTACATAATTCGCAAAAAAAGAAATAAGCCTAAAAGGAGCACCGATCAGAGGAGCATCAGCAAGTGGCACACTCTCATCTCCTACACCTACAGAAGCTTGTGCTTCTATATCCTGACTTTCATTTTCATCTAATGAAATTTGCACTATTTCTCCAGCCAGACTGGTTTCTGATGAATGCCGGACTATATTAGCATGTTCTGAGTTTATTTCATCCATTACTCTTTGCTCATCTCTGATTGGAGCTGTTCCAAAAGACTCGAGATTCTTTGTTGACAAGGAGTTATCCTCTTGAATATCCTCAGTGGATCTAGACACAGGATTTGCAGAGGAATAATCAGGTATGTCCACTGAAGTAATATCAGGCACTACAGCTAGTTGACCAAGCTCCATGGACATCTGATTCACCTAAAACAAATCACAATCACAGGAAAAAATGTCAAAGAAAAAAATGAGCAGAATTGCTCATTCTCTTGCCCTAAGGATTAGTGAATGAGGTTTAAATCTTGGGGTTCAAGAAGGAAGGGAGAGGTTTCAGGTATCCAAATTATAAAACTATACATACAAAAGAACCCCCACCCCCCCTAAAAAAAAGGAAAAAGGTTTTTTTTTTTAAAGAAAAGGTACTTGCAAAATAACAATGACTGCTCATAATCTTAATAGGCAACTAAACCATCATACACTGCATGTGGCACTCATGAATTACCTTTTCAACAAGATCTGCATTTTCTGCCATCAATTTCCCAATCAATGCATACATTTCTTCCATCTCAGTATTCAAGTTCTCTTTCTCAGAGGCATCCTATATCAGAAAGTCAAAACCCAACATAGACATTAACAAAGATTCTTTCAAAATATCTGTATGAGAGATACTTTCATTGTGTGCCACACAAGATAGAATGCTTAATTTGCATCACTACTCAAATTGGCAGATCATCTCATGACTTCCCCAATATGCAATGACCGCGTGTAAACGCACATCAAGAAGAAGGTAGAAGGAGCAAACCTTTTGAGCATCAGTTGGAGGCACTGGAGTTGCCAAACTCATTTCAACATCGTGAACTCGTGTCTGTAAGTTAGAAATGTTGTCTAACAACTGCTGCTTTTCTTGTGAGAGACTATTCCTAGCTCCTTCCAACTCCAAAACCTGCCAGGCTTTGTTTTCAATTTAGCATCAGAAAAAATATGTACTTCCTCCGTTTCTTTTTAGTTAGCACGCAATCCTTACAGGAAATTTTAAAATAGTTGCAATGTTACTTCTTCTTCCTTTTTTTTTTTTTTTTTTTTTTTTTTTTTTTTTTAAGTACATACACAAATTTGCACCCAAAAATAAAATTAAAAAGGTTGCCCCTGTTTATCCAACTATAACATCTAATGACCCCTACCTCAACTAACTAATTCCTCTAGCTCTCCTTAGTCTTCCCCTTACCATTAGCCAATAAATCAAGTACACCCCAACCCCAACTAAGCAGGCAACTGCACCATCTGAAAGCCTCAAGCACCTCCCACCCCTTCCAAGTGAACTGCCTAGTGCCTACCCCAATACTCTCCAGCCTCGCCTCCTCCCCTATAGTTCAACTTTCCGGCCTCCACTCCCAGGCAACTACATAGACATCAAGCAACTAAAACCAACACCTACCCCAATACTACCAAAATCCTAGGGGTGAGCATGGATCGGATATCCGATCCGAAATTGGTTTTCGGATCGGATATCCGTATCCGAAAATTCCTATATTTGATATCCGTATCCGATCCGAAATTTTCGGATATCCGATATCCAACTTTTTCAAATTATTGTTTAAAAATTCATTTAATGGCCAAATTAACTTTTTGTTAAGGAAAATTGATAAACAGAGTACTTGTATATTGAAATTGAGCTAAAATGAGAAGATCAAATAGACTAGAAAATTTTAAAATCCAACAACTAATTTCACCAATTTCAAAACAAAGAAATTTTACACATTGTCACAAATTACAGAACAAAAAAAAATTAAAATAATTATCATTGAGAAGAGAAGCCGTCGCTGGTGGAGGCGTGGAGCGGCCGTGAGATTGAGGGAGTGGGATTTGAGAGCGGGCGCTGTCGATGGTGGTGATATGCGATGATGGGCTGACGTGATGTTGCAACTCGAGGGAAGTCGTCGTGGTTGCGGATGTTGATGGCGGTGTGGCTGGAGGAGGGTGGAGCGACGCGTGAGGATCTAGGGGGGAAGATGGGCAAGCTGTTGGTGGTTGGCTGGTTGCAGATGTTGATGGAGGTGAACTGAGGGAAATCTTAAAAAAGAATAGTCAATGAGATTCTAAGAGGAAAGAGAGGAGAGAGAAGATAGAGAATCAGATAAGAGAGAGGGGAGCGGTGGGGGGAGTTTTTGAGGGAATGATTAGGGTTAGTTGGTTTAGGCCTTTTGGGCCTTTGTGGAGTATATAGAGTAAGTCTTCATTAAAAAAGACTCCGTAAAAAATTAAGTGATTTTTTCGGATATCGGATATCCGAAATACAAAATTTGGATATCCGATAGAAAATCGGATATCCATAATTTTCAGATCGGATCATCGGATTTTCGGAAAGTTTTGCTCGGCCATACAAAATCCACCACTACCAAAACTTCAATAAACCAGAAAGGGAAAGCGAGAAGGCCACCCCAACAACACTAATAAACTACCAAAAGCCTACACTTAACAATTATGTTGGCACCCCACAATTAGACAGACTAGAGCACAACAACACACCACCAAAAATCAATATTTGCAAAAATAAAAACCACTCGATGGTGGTGATTTCAGATCTGGTGGTCAAAGGAGTTGTGTTTGCCAGCAACTCAGCAAGTTCAAAGGGAGTGAAGTAGAAATTGTGCCCTTTAAGGGAATTGAAGTGCTGGTGAGGGTGGATTATTAAAGAGAGAAACAGTAATGACCCATTCCAATTGTGAAGGTAATGATGGGTTCACGGAGGGGAGGTAGAGAAAGGTAGGAGTGGTATATAAGTGGTATATAATGCTCCTTTAACTTTCTCCTATCCCTTGGTTTGTGCACCAAGTTTTTGGTTGCAACTGAAAAGTAACGGAGGAAGCAAATTGCTTTGGTAAAAAAACTAAATGGTGCATGAAATCCTAATTTTTCTCAATAAGTGTATATACCAACATGCAATAGATAAATAAATTTGGTTCAAGTACATGACTGATACATATTAAATCCAATTTAATAATCTTATCCAACAAAGAAGATGAACCTCCTTTCTATGCTGTAACATGCTTGACTTGTTAATCATCTAATAATCAAGTACAATTAGCTTTTCAACATTATTTATCACAAACTGGCATAACACATTACATACCTGCATTTTCAACTTTGCGTTCTCAGAATTCAGAGTCGTGATCATTTCCTTGTCTAAGTTCTGCACATTAAGGGAAGGATAACAAAAACATATGTATTTAGCTTCCCATCTTTAACCGAAGAAGGCAGCAGAAGGTGAACTGAGGTTGAGGCAAGTAAATAAATACTATGACAAAGTAGAACTATAGGATGACAGTAAAGGCTTTGGGTGACTTAGAAGTTGACTGACAAATACAGTGATGATGACAAGACAACAATAAGTTCTGAAAGCAACAGTGCAGAAGGTTTTTTGATGGGGGGAAACCAGAAAAAAGATCAAGCTAGGCAAGTATAAAAATATGAGTAGTACGGAGTAATAATCATCAAGATAGAAAATCTTACCTCTGTGTCAACAAGAGAATGTTTCTCCTTCTCAACATGCTGATATTTTTCCAGCAAATTCCTCTGAAACAATAGATAATTAATTTAGTCATTGAATAGACAGTTCATTCTGAAGTCATAGGCTACCACAATAATGACATGTGCATTAAAACATGAGGAAGAGAAACATATGTAAATGACCACTACCCACGTTTCCTAAATTTTAATCACTATCTGTTTTCATCCGTTTTTATGTATTCTACTCAATTTTACTTTTTACTCCCTCCTTCCCATAATACTTGACATAGTTACCATTTTCGTCCGTCCCACAATACTTGACACGTTACTAAATATGGAATGAGACCACTAATAAAAAAATATTTTCCTATACTCTCTTTAGGACCACAAACCCCAAAACCAATCAAATCCTACATTTTCTCTCTCCTCACTACCCCCACCACCCCCACTTTTTGTTTTTTTACAATATAAAAATACAAAAGAGAATCTTTTATAAAATAAACAAATGTTTTAAATGAACCCACTTGTAATTTTCTTAAACTACGTGTCCACCCCAACGTCCCAAGTATTATGGGACGGAGGGAGTATTCTTCATGGGGAATCTTTTTTCTAGCAGCTCCTACCCCACCCTATGCGAACCTATTTATTTAATTGAATCCCAAACACTTCATCACTCTCCATAAAGTGAAAGGAACCACATGAGTAATCCCTATTAAGTTCTTAAATTTTGTAGCGACAATTACTTAGTAGAATTCAGGAAAACTGAGGTAGTACGGAAAAAGCACATATAGTTTACGACAAAAATAGTCTTCCTAACTCTCACCTGTTCAAAACTCAAAGCAGCATTCTCCTGTAACAGCTGGCTGATTCTCTGCTCCAGGCTCACCTGAGAATTAGAGAA